CTAAAATACTTTACATTTTTTTTAAAGTCAAATTTATAATTTATTATTATTATTTATATTAATATATTTATTTTTTTTTATATGAGGCAAGTAATATTTTTGATATTAAAAAAAAAAATATCATTGTTTAATTTTAAAATTAAATTTTATTATAATTTAAATAATTTTTTATTTTTAATATTACAATATGTTAATAACAAAATAATTTTTTTTTTCTCTCTGTTAAATGATTTAATGTGTTATCGTGGTCAAAAGTAATTATTATTTTTATTAGAGAAAATTAATTCTGCCAAACTACCTAATTATCATGTTTGCGTAAAATCTTACGTAATAGTTAATAAAAAAAAAAAAAAAAGAACGTAAAAACATTAATTAAAATTATTTAATCTTTTAATTAAAAATTTATAAACTTAAAAGTTTTATTTAAATATCGTTTATTTTAAAAAAAACTTATATTTTTCTTTCTTTTTGCTTAAACCGTAATAAATAAATTGCCCCAATGAATTGTATTTATTCCTATATTTTTTGTTGACCTCATTTTTTTTGATGATTGATTTTTTACAATTAAATATTTATTAATTTTTTTTTTTTTTTCTTTTAGAATATTTAATTATGGCTACTGCAACATGTCAAAAACTACTAAAATGGAAGAGTGTGTTTACAAATTTAAAATCTTGTTTAATACAAACTGGTGTCAGGAATACCACCTGCTGTCGAAATAAAAGTTCAGCTGTTAGTTTCAATTGGGAAGATGCATTAAATTTAGAAAGTGCATTAATGGAAGATGAAAAAAGTGCAAAGGATATGGTTAGACAGTTTTGTCAAGAAAAGTTAATGCCTAGGGTTCTTGTAGCCAATAGGCAAGAAATTTTTCATAAAGAAATTTTTCCTGAAATGGGTGAACTGGGTTTACTTGGATGCACTTTAGAAGGCTATGGTTGTGCAAACATGTCTTATGTAGCATATGGACTTATAGCAGAGAAATAGAAAGAGTTGATCAGTGGATATCGTTCTGCTATAGTGTTCAGTCATCATTAGTTATGTTTCCAATTCATGCGTATGGGTCAGAAAAACAGAAAGAAAAATATTTGCCCAGGTTGGCTAAGGGAGAATTAATAGGGTGTTTTGGACTGACAGAACCTAATCATGGTAGTGATCCAAGTGGAATGGAAACCAAGGCTGTATATAATAAAAATACTAAAACGTACAAATTATCAGGTAGTAAAACTTGGATAACTAATTCTCCAGTAGCTGATATAGTCGTAATTTGGGCAAGGTGTGATGATGGAAAAATAAGAGGTTTTATATTAGAAAAAGAAATGAAAGGTGTAAGTTTACCTAAAATAGAAGGTAAATTTTCATTAAGAGCATCAGCCACAGGAATGATATTATTAGATGATGTAGAAGTTTCAGAAGAACAAGTTTTACCAAAAGCAGAAGGTTTAAAAGCTCCCTTTAGTTGTTTGAATAATGCTCGTTTAGGTATAAGTTGGGGAGCTCTAGGAGCAGCTGAATTTTGTTTGGAATCTGCTAGACAATATGTCCTCGATAGAAAGCAATTTGGTAGACCATTAGCTTGTAATCAGTTAATCCAGAAAAAATTAGCAGATATGTTAACGGAAATTTCAATAGGTTTACAAGCTTGCTTACATGTTACAAGGCTCAAAGAAAAAAATATGGAAACTCCTGAAATGATTTCAATGTTAAAAAGAAATTCTACTGGAAAATCTTTAGAAATAGCAAGAGTGGCTAGAGACATGTTGGGGGGAAATGGAATTTGTGATGAATATCACATAATAAGGCATGTTATGAATTTAGAAGCTGTTAATACCTATGAGGGAACTCATGACATTCATGCACTTATATTAGGTAGAGCAATTACAGGTATTCAAGCTTTTAAGGGATAATTAGGGATTTATCTCTTTTATAAAAATAACAAAATTTTACCCATGTGAAAATCAAATTTTAAAAATAAAATTTCTAGTCTACTTATATGTAAATATAAATAATATATATAAATTAAATTGAATCTCTTTTTGTTAGTACTTGATCTGTTTATTTTTATATTAATGTAATCATTGAAATTTTTTTGGGATAAAAAAAAAGAAATCTTTTTTAAATTATTTTTAACTTGGGGACATTTTTAAATATATACATATATATAAGTAAATATATATTATATGATTCTGTATTTTTTTAATAAAAAAAAATTTTCCAGCACAGTTTAATTTTTCAAAACCTCTTAGGACCTTTAACGGAAAAAAAATATGAAAATATTTTTTTATGTATTACAATAGTTAATAAAATTTATTTAACCGTTTATTTACCATAAAAATTAATTTAGGTTTAAATTTAAATTTTTAAAAATTATAAAATTTTCATTTAATATTCCTATCTCGTACATTTTTACTTAGTAATGTCAATGTAATTTTTTTTTTTTTTTGTATTATTTTGGGCGTATTCCTAATTTACCAAGTTTTAAAAAATTTTAAAGATAGTTAATTATAATATGAGTTTAAAAAAAAAAAAAAACGTATTTTCTAAAAAATTGTTTAAAAATTAATCATTGCTTATAAATAATTATTAATTTCAT